CTGCCCCTCCCCGCCTGCCCCCCCTCTCCTGCCCCTCCTCTCCTGCCCCTCCTCTCCTGCGCCTCCTCTCCTGTGCCTCCTCTGCTGCGCCTCCTCTCCACTCGCTCAGTGAAACAGTGAAACTTCATCCAGTTGGTGTTGCTCTCCGTTGGCGGGCCTTCAGAACCACACAGTAGGTGAACGTGGGAGGATGGCGTGGGAGTCGTGTGGGCCTGGATGGACGACCAACTGCTCCACACTGAGGATTTCCAAAAAAAAAAAAAAAATCTCATCGTTTGTTCTTGTTCCAGAACTAGAGCGAGAACGGGTTCTTTGGACCGGGACTAAAAAAAGGGAAACTCTCAGGTAAAAAAACGACACCTGGTTCTGTTAATGTCAGAAACAACGAATCAGTTCTCCCGTTCAGACTGTTCTAGAAACAGTAACAAACGGTTCTGTGGTGACGTCACAGACTGTTAAATAAGTACTATTTCAGTATCAGACATTGAATTTCGCCCAAAAGCAGGAAAAATAGACGTAAAATCGGACAAAAAGTCATCATTGCGCAGTCGCGGAAGTCGTCGTTTGGAGCGTCCTGTTTCCATGGAAACTCACCGTCGTCATCAGCGTGTTGTTGGATTTATGTCGAGGGGGGAAACAAAAAAATATCCCGACGCAGTAACAGCCGATGATTCCATTTTCTACTGTTTTCTTTATTTTTCTTTTGTGAGAGAAAATCGTTTTTCGGGACCGAATCGATTCTGCGCTGCGTTTTTTTTTTACCGTCGTCATATCTTCGATTATTTATTTAACTCGTTTTAAACTCCACTAACTTTAACTTCTCACAGCTCTTGTTGTTCACGATGCTGGGAAACCGGAAGTGTTCTGTGGTGGACCAAACACTGAGCTGCTCCGAGAACAGAGAGGACACGAAGAAGAAGAAGAAGAAGAAGAAGTCGACGAAGAAGAAAAGTGAGAGAGTTTCCGCCTCGACAACTGGTAACAAAGACGTTTTTGTTTTTTATTTTACAGAATCTTGACATTTATAAAGAAATAATTATATTTATATATATATAAATATCTCGTATTTCTAAACTATTCGTTGCTAATTGTATTAGCTTTTGTAGTTTACGTTCACATATTTTGTATATATTTGTATGTTTATCTTCACGAATATTAACCACACTCTTGTTTAGTAGAATCAGGATTTTATTTTATCAAAATAATAATAACAACAATATCACACTACTACTAATATTAATAAGGACTCTGAAGGGGAGGGCTGGAGTCAGTAAGTGGACTGAAGCGCCCTCTTCTGGTGATCGTGCTCTGTTTTAATCAGAATAAAGATCTGTTCCCAAATAAAAAATAAAATATTTTTTTAAGATTGATCATGTTTTTTAAAAATAAACCTAAATAAGAATCAAGTTTAAATCAATTATTAATTGGTCTATTTATGGATATTAATAAAAAGTACTTTATAAACCTAGACTTTTGAATTTAATATTTATTTTACAGCTTCAATGCTTTTTTATGTGCCTCCGTTTGAGAACCCCAGGGGTGGAGCAGCTCCCCCTCAGGTTGTCTTTATGTTCTATGTTTTGTTTTTTTTTGTCTTCAGAGTTCCCTAAACCCGTGTCTCTGCTGCCAAGCCTGACCCCTGGTGGTAAGAAAAGCAGAGAACGGATCGGTGGCAGCAGCTGCAGGAAGAAGAAACTCTCTGAAACTCCACCTGACCTGCTGACACCAACAGACGGTGGCGCTGCAGCAGAGGGGGGGCAGTCCAGGGAGAGTCTGAGGTGGGAGGGGGTGTTGGAGGACAGGGAGGCGGAGGAGAGGAGGCTGGAGGTGTACAGAGCCAACAGGAGGAGGCGCTACGTCGCACACAGAGAGGCGGAGGACGGAGGAGGACGGAGGAGAGAAGGAACTGGAACTGATTCTGGTCAAAGCTGTTTCAACACAGATCAAAAGGAACTCAACTTTTATTGACGTTCATTTTCAGACACAGATCAAAGGTCTTTGATGCTGAACTAAAAATCAAAGAGACACATTAACGCTGCAGGAACCGATACTACGAGTGACAGTCCTAGTTACCACACAATCGGTACTACAGATATAGAGGCCACAAATGGAAGTACCAGGGGCAGTTTTACCTCCCCCAGAACACTCCCTGTTTATGAGGAGGGCAACAAAGGAAACCAGAGCCATCAGTTCTTGTCTTTATGTTCTATGTTTTTCAAATGCATTATTAAAAAAAAAAAAAAAATAGAGATGCAGTTGTACCATCACTTATCTTTTTTTTTAAATTTCTTAAAAACCTAGTTTTCATGTTACTGTGGTCGTACTGTAGATGTATATGTACATGTGCAGTTCAAATATAATTACTTTATTTTAAAATGTTTAATTTCTGATATATTGTTCTACTGTTGTAACTTTTAGCTGTTTCTTGTCTAACGTTGGTCATTTTTCCTGAAAGAAATATTTTTTATACAAAGACTAGAAGACGTTCCAAAAACAAATGCATACAATAAATACATGTCATACCAGTTTTGACCACGTGAGGGCAATTATTCAACACTAAAAGCGATGCTATAGCTTATAGCTAAGTGTTGTGCATTGTTTTCATAACATTTAAAAATGACGTCATGGTCATGCTCCTCCTCTACACCTTGGTCCTCCTCATCACGCTCCTCTTCCTCCTCCTTCTTGTGTTCCTTGCCGGGTCAAGAGGTCGACCAGCGTCGCCCCCTTCTGGCTGCTCCTCAGCTTCTCACTCATGCCGGGCAGAGGAACACGCCGGCTCTGCTGCTGCTCCTCTGAGGTCTGGTAGAACGGACAGACTTTGAGGTGAGCAGACATTGGAGGAACATCAGACGTCCTCCAGGAGTCCACCGAGGAGAAGAGGTGACTGAACCGCCACACCTGTGGAGGGAGACGGAGAGGAGGAGTCACAGAGGAGGAGACCTCAACACTGACCACTGCGTGGACCGAGACTCACGGGTCTGGACCTCCAGCGCTTGGCTCCTCCGTGTGAGGAGGTGTCCTTCTCCCAGTGCAGGGTGACCATCCCTCTGTCCTGCAGCAGGGAGGAGCAGACCTGCCTGAGGAGCCTGGACACCAGAGCCAGCTGAGACAGAGACAGACTGTCCAGGAAACTGGCCACGTGACACAAGACCTCGTAGGGCAGGGAGCTCAGGGAGTCCGCGCCTCCTCCTGCTCCTCCTGCCTGTCCGCCCCTCGTCCTCTGAGGGGTGGTCTCTCCAGGACACCCAGGGACGGTGGGGCTCAGACTGAAGCAGCCCAGGTCTTCACTGAAACGTAGGCGACGTCACATGAAGCTGAGGGTTTGGGTTTGTTGACACTTCAACTGAATGTTGTTCCTTCTCTCACCAGTAGGAGACGCTGGCTTCGTGCGTTGAAGGCTGGAACCTCCTCTGGCTGTAGGTGCAGCCGAGGTAGGACAGAGGACATCGGTGCTCGAACCAGCCGTTCACTCCCATCTGGATGTCACTGTGGACGTTCCTGTGGACAGGAAGTCAGAACTGTCAGATAACAGAACCATCGATCGGCTCTGGTCACACTGGTCCAACTGGTCCAACTGGTCTGGTTGACTTGGGTAACTGTCAATATATGAAACAACCACAGAAGAAGAAGAAGAAACAGGAAGTGGACAGAGTTCCACTGGAGAACACTGTTGGTGTCTGTGGAACCAGTTCTTCCCACGTTCTGTTTCAACACCTGAACGTCTCTCAGCCTACGTCTACGACAACCAATGTTTTTAGGAGCACACTGCCACCTACTGGACTAGAGTGTGTAGTGTCATGGTTTGACCAGTGACCTTTAACCTACACTTTACACCTTGATGACTGATTGATGCTAATTGTCACAAATTTGAACCGATCTTTAACCGGTTCACGGTGCGTCGTTAGCGCCCTCGTCAGTTTTCGTCCTCACTTGTAGTGTGTCCCATATTCTCTGCGCTGAAAGCTGTGTCCACAGAGGAAGGTGAAGGCGGAGCTGGCCTTGTGGTGTCTGCCCGTGACGCTCTCCACCTGCAGCTGTAGGTGGAGCTCTAGAGGTTTGTCCGCCGTCAGATCAGCCAGAGACGTGTTTCTGCGAAAAGGAGCCGACAGGAAGCTGTAGGTCTGCGTGCCCTCGTCCTGGAGCAGGCCGTCGCTGCAGATGCTCTCTGCGATCATGTGACCTCGCTGCTCCTTCTCCAGGGAGCAGAGGAGGGAGGCCTGGGGAGAGAATCAAAGGTCAGCAAAACAAAATCTGTTTTTTTAGGGTTTAAAACCCAGTGGCTGTTTACGGTACTGAACGGTTTTAGAACTCTTGTTATTTCAGCTTTTTTAAATTTCAAATTCTAATAAAGTAAAATAAAATAAGAACTTTGAATTTTTATTAACATTAACATTTCAAACCTTTACAAACCAATGATTTATTTTGTGTAACTGCAGTGAACTGTGTGTAAATTCGACTTTTTCCCGGGACAGTAAAAGCATCACTGGCAGATCAGGTTTCACTCTAACTTGACTTGAAGAAAGAACGTGACTTCCTCTTCCTCACCTGTACCTCCTCCCACACTGGCACCTCCTCTAGCGCCACCCCCAGGTCGCTGGTGTCCACAGCTTTGCTCTCTCTGCGGTAGAAGCCGGGGTTCCTGATGCGGCCCTGCCTGGCAGAGAAGCTGGTGGGGATTCTGAACGTTCGTACCGTGATGATCTTCATCGGCTCCAGGGAACCGTACATGAACCTCCTCCTCTTCACTGTGTCGTTGGTGCAGGAGGAGGCGCAGGAGCTGGAGGGTGCTGCCACATCACTGGTGTCCTCAGTCTCCTCCTCCGTCAGAGTGCTCAGACCTTTTCCTCCCCCCTTGGTCCCTCCCCCTCCTCTCCCTCCAGCTTCTCGACATCCACCCATCTCCATACTGAACATGCTCTCGTAGGCCGTGAAGTTCTCCAGGGACAGAGCGTCCACGCCCGAGCCCCTGGCCAGAGCCTCCCTCTCCTCCTGAGTCAGCTCCTGCTGATCTTGAAGGTCACCGAGGTCAACCTCATCCTCATCCTCTTCATCTTCGTCTTCATCCTTGTCCACGGTGTCATGCCACGTGCTGATGTTGAACTTGTTGAAGGACTCCCAGGTGTGAGCCGCCGCTCTTCTCGCTGCTGACTCCTTCTCCTCCGCGGCCTTCCTGTGCATCGCTCTCCTCTGCTCCTCCTCCCTCCGTTCTTCCTCCTTCTCCTCCTCCTCCACACTCCGCACCAGCTCTGGGAACAGTTTCTTCATCTTCATGTGGTGGAACAGCCGGTCCTGGTCCCTCAGGGCCAAGGCCAGGTCCAGACCTCCTCCCGACTCTCGCTCCTGCATCAGATTCTGGTTCAGCTCGGCGCAGAGATGAGAGTGGGCGTCGACCGCCGGCCAACGGTTCCACTCCATGGAGCAGCAGACCACGCTGGCCGGACACTCCTGGAGGTGGGCGGCCCGGCAGGAGCGGGGCATCTGCAGGGGGCAGCCGTGGTCGGCGTTGAGACACGGTACCCTGACGTTGGGGCAGAGCAGCAGGTGCTCCTCCTCCTTACACAGGTGGAACACCGCTCCGCACAGGAGGCCGCAGGGGACCAGGGCGCAGCTGACGGAGGCCTCCACCCGAGTCCTGCAGCGTCGGCTGTAGCAGGAGTCACAGTGGAGGTGCTGGCGCCCCCTGGAGCCTCGAGATCGGTGGCTCTGGTTCAGAAATAGGAGTTAGAGTCAGTCCTTCTGTCTGTTGACGTGTTTGCTGAACTACAGTCAACAAGGTTGCAGTGACCTCTAGAGGGCCCATGGTGACACTGCAGCTTGGGTTTTTACTCACTGTGGCAGTTTTAAAGTCAAACCCTGTTCTACTGAAATACCTTAGTATTTAGTTACAGTTACAGAATACTGAAGTTTGTTAGTACGAGGCACGAGTGTAGTAAAAAAAAACAACAACAATATTTTATAAACTGGTCTGTTTCTCATCAGAGAAACTAGTTTGTTTATCGGACGTGTAAAGGAGGGTCAGAAATAGAAAAACATGCGAGGACGACATGTACCAGTTGTGACCTCTGGTTGTGACCTCAGGCCTACAGGGTCTACACTTCCTGTTGAAAATCTGTGTTCTGTTTGTCTCTGACCTTCAATTCCGTTGTACTATTTCTTTCTATTCATGAAAATACTGCAGTAAAACTGTGGTAAATACTCCACCAGTGAAGACGTACCATTCTGAAGATCTTCTGTCTCCGTCAACTCTCGGCTCAGTCCGACGGACCGTGGAAGTCGACTGGAAAACTGTTGAATCCAACGGGAACGATGCGTTCACTGACTGAAGTTCTGGACCGTTGGAGATCATGCTCTGTGCTGGCTGAGCCGTCTGAGGGTGTGTGTGTGTGTGTGTGTGTGTGTGTGTGTTATAAATAGAGCGGTGGACATGGAGACTCTGACACAGGTGCTCCGGAGCCCGGTGTAAGTTTCCTCTCCTCTCAGTCGTTCTTATTTTCTCCTTCTTTCTTCTCCTTTGTTAATAATCTCTGGTCTCATCTTGGACCTGAAGAAATCATTCAACCTGGGGGGCGGGGGCTCTTCATGGTCCTCCAGACAAGTCCATTCACACGGGACAACTTCAACGAATCTACAATCCGTGGGAGAAACCGAGGGCAGGGAGTCGTCTTCCTCCTGAACCTCCTCTCTGCTCCTCGTCTAATTTTAACCCGTCAGTTCAAAGAGCAGCAGCAGCAGCAGTAACAGCAGCAGCAGTAACAGCAGCAGCAGCAGTAACAGCAGCAGCAGCAGGAGGTCAGCTCTTGGTCTTTTTTCTTCACGTCGTGGACTCGATCTCAGCTCTGTTTGGTTCTCGGTTGAACTGTTTAGTTTGTGTTTGGACCTGGAGGAGTCACATGGTTTCCTGCTAACTCAGCTCCTCGTCTTCAGTCCAAAGTCTTTAGTTTTATACACTGTAGCTGATCTGGGATCAGACTTCCTTCTGTACAAAGACTCCTCATCTCGACACAGGTGTTGGGTTCAACATTTATTCATAATTTTTTTTTCCCTTTTTATTGTTTTTCTTGCAGAGAAGTCGCAGCCTCGCAGACATGGTGAGTATGAACCGTCTTTTCCCTCCTGCGGCCACACGGGTGTACCCAAGTACCATCCGAAGACCTCAGACCGTAGCTTGAGAACCACAGACCTAACCCATTGGGTTTAAATGTCCATTTTTTTTCTATCATCATTCTGAATCTTTCTTATCCAACCAGAGCCACCGATCTCGAGGCTCCAGGGGGCGCCAGCACCTCCACTGTGACTCCTGCTACAGCCGACGCTGCAGGACTCGGGTGGAGGCCTCCGTCAGCTGCGCCCTGGTCCCCTGCGGCCTCCTGTGCGGAGCGGTGTTCCACCTGTGTAAGGAGGAGGAGCACCTGCTGCTCTGCCCCAACGTCAGGGTACCGTGTCTCAACGCCGACCACGGCTGCCCCCTGCAGATGCCCCGCTCCTGCCGGGCCGCCCACCTCCAGGAGTGTCCGGCCAGCGTGGTCTGCTGCTCCATGGACTGGCTGCGCTGGCCCGTCGACGAGACGAACCCTCACGGTAACGTGGCGCTGCAGGAGAACGTACAGAAGGAGCACGAGGGGCAGCAGGAGGCTCTGGACCTGGCCATGGCCAGAGTGGACCAGTGTGAACTCTACCAACGTCTGGAGATGGAGCCGCTGTATCCAGAACTGATGGAGGAGCAGGAGGAGGAGGAGCAGAGAGAGGAGGAGCAGAGGGAGGAGGAGCAGAGGGAGGAGGTGGCATGTGGAGGCGTGGCCAACGATGTCACTGATGCTAATGAAGGTAAACCTTCTGTCCATCTGGACATTTGACCCCTGAGGGCTGACCCCTGGGTCACTGTACTGTACAGATTTATGTATTTTGGTGAAACAGAAAAACTGGTCCACGTGAAACTGTCGTCTCCTGCGTCTCCACAGGAAGTAGCTCCTGCAGGAGTTACGTTGAAGAAACGGTTCAGCCCAGACACCAGGTGGTCATCGACAAGGACAAGTTCAACCTGTTTGAGATGATGTTCAGCATGGACAGAAGAGCCTGTGAGGTCGCCCAGGAGAACCTGGAGCGCTCCAAGTCCGAGGAGACGGTGAGGACGGAGAGACGGGACGACGCACAGGACGCTGGGAGGTCAGAGGTCAGGGAGAAAGGTGTCGACCACCAGGAGACGGACGACAAGACCCTGCGTCCTCCAGAACCACAGCCAGACACCAGTAAGACAGGACAGGCCCCCTGGCAGGAGGGGGTGATGGAGCGCCTGAAGGAGGAGCTCACGCCGCAGGAGTACAACATGTATGTGGTGCATCATGGTCGCATGTTGATGGCGTTTGGACAAATCCAAGCCTGCACGCCCAGAGAGAAGGACTTCGTCTACGGCAGCCTGGAGCCGATCCCTGTCCAGACTCTACGCTCCTTCAAGGTCAGGACCTCCAGGCCACTCACTTACCAAAGAAAAAATAAACTGGCCACTAGGGGGAGCACTGTTTTTTAGATCCAAATTCTAAAGTCACTTTGACCTTTGACCGTTAGCTTATGATGTCATCACTGTTGTCTTTGTCCACGAGGTCCCCGACAGCTATCACTACAGACGGCGGGTTCACCTGTACGACACGGCGGCCAGGGCTCCGAGGGAGCCCCGCGGCGTGGACACGTCCGACCTGGGGTCCAGTGAAGACCTCTGGTTCAGTGAGGAGGACACGTCCACCCTGCTGGGCTACGCTGAGAGGGAGGTCATGGGTCACAAGGTCAAGTAGATGTACCAGCGCGGTGTAGTGTGCCATGCAGTAACCAGCACTGACCACTAGGACTGATTGTTCTGTTTTCGTAAAGATCAGCGAATCAAAGGCAGCCGACGGCCTCTACGTGGACGTGGGGACTCAGACGCACCGCTTCCACTCGGCTCCCCTCAGCAGGAGGACGACCCTGGCCCAGGTCATGGAGGTCAAACCCCAGAGGCTCCTCCTGCAGCTGCAGACGGAGAGCGTGACGGGCAGACACAGCCGGGCCACGTGCGTCTTCAGCTTCCTCTGCGGCCACACCTTCCACCGCAGGGAGTTCGCCACGCACTTCAGGTCCGTCCGCACGGAGGAGTCAGGGCCGTGACTCCTGCCGACCTCCTCCTCTGACTCCTCACTTCATTTTTTTTTTCCTTCCAGGAACGTCCACGGTGAGATCCAGACGTGTTTGAGCGGCTGGTTCGAGCAGAGGTGCCCGCTGTCCTACCTGGGCTGCACCTACAGCCGCAGGAGGTTCCAGCCCGCCTCCCACCGGGCCAGCGTTTACTACGAGTGAGTACGACGGGAGGTCACGACCTAAACATGAAAACTTACTAAACCCCCCCCCCCCCCCCCCCACCCCCCCTCCCCCCATCCCCCCATCCATCCATCCATCCACCCATCCATCCATCATCCATCCACACATCCATCATCCATCCACTCATCCACTCATCCACCCATCCATCCATCCATCCACCCATCCATCCATCCATCCACCCATCCATCCATCCATCCACCCATCCATCCATCCATCCACCCATCCATCCATCATCCATCCACACATCCATCATCCATCCACTCATCCACTCATCCATCATCCATCCATCCATCCATCATCCACCCACCCATCCATCATCCATCCACTCATCCACTCATCCATCCATCCATCCACTCTGCTCCTCTTTTTTGTCAGTCAGGAGCTGAGGAGTTTCAACCTGCGGCCCACCCTTGGAGCTCCATCAGGTGATGACTTCAGGAGGAACCTGTTCGACTCCTCCACTAATCAGAGGGAGCAGGGAGCCGGGGTCGAAGGAGCAGGAGGAGGCGCGGACTCCCTGAGCTCCCTGCCCTACGAGGTCTTGTGTCACGTGGCCAGTTTCCTGGACAGTCTGTCTCTGTCTCAGCTGGCTCTGGTGTCCAGGCTCCTCAGGCAGGTCTGCTCCTCCCTGCTGCAGGACAGAGGGATGGTCACCCTGCACTGGGAGAAGGACACCTCCTCACACGGAGGAGCCAAGCGCTGGAGGTCCAGACCCGTGAGTCTCGGTCCACGCAGTGGTCAGTGTTGAGGTCTCCTCCTCTGTGACTCCTCCTCTCCGTCTCCCTCCACAGGTGTGGCGGTTCAGTCACCTCTTCTCCTCGGTGGACTCCTGGAGGACGTCTGATGTTCCTCCAATGTCTGCTCACCTCAAAGTCTGTCCGTTCTACCAGACCTCAGAGGAGCAGCAGCAGAGCCGGCGTGTTCCTCTGCCCGGCATGAGTGAGAAGCTGAGGAGCAGCCAGAAGGGGGCGACGCTGGTCGACCTCTTGACCAGGAACAGACAGCATCAGTGACTCCACCTGCTGGTGGGGCTGGTGGGCTGGGGGGAGGTTTTACAAAAAAAAAAAAAA